AGCCCCATCCCCGCAATCCCGATCCCGCAGCCCCGCTCCCCCAGCCCCATCCCCGCAGTCCCGATCCCCCAGTCCCGATCCCCGCAGTCCCGATCCCCCAGCCCCATCCCCCATCCCCATCCCCGCAGTCCCGATCCCTCAGTCCCGATCCCGCATCCCTGAGGCCAAACCCCTCCGGCACAGCAGCCCCATCCCCGCATCCTCAGCCCCCACAGCCCCATTCCCGAGCCCCCAGCACTGCCATCAGCCCCATCAGCCGGTCCCAAACATCCCCAAATATCCGGCCTTTCTTTTTTTTGTTAAAAAAAATCCCCTTTTTCTCTCATCCCTTTCTCTTTCCCCGTTTCCTCCGGAGCAGGGCCCGCAGCAGGAGCAGTTTCTGGGTTTGTTTGGGGTTTGTGAGCTGGTGGTTCCCTGCAATGGCCTGGATTGGATGTCAATAGGGCCCCTGCTATGGGAAGTTTGTGACCTGGCCCTGGACATTATTCATGGTGGGTGAGTGTTTAAACCCACATGGCGTGCGAGGGAGAGCGAAACAAAATACATCCATTTATACAGAGAGAGATCTGGACGTTGTATCAGCACCTAACTCCAGAAACAGGAGCTAAACTGAACCCTAAATTCAGGAAAAATCAACGTTCTATTCATCCACACAGCCTTTGGGATGAGAGCCCTCCGACAGAGCAGCCTCCCCTAAACATCTGCAGCAACAAGTATTTTATTTTTTGTGTGTGTGTGTGAACAAAACGAGAGGAAAAATGAGACAAGAATGCAGTGGAGAAAGCCAGCTGTTCCTAAATGAATGTTTGAGAGTGCTGGGGCGAAATCTTCAGCAGAAGACTTCGAAAAGTCATCAAAAGCTCTTTTTTTTGGTGCTATTTAAAGCTTTGGCCCTTTGTTTTGTGATGGATGAATTCACGCAGCCCTGTGAGCTACAGAAGCATTACAGAGATTAGTTATTTTTAATCTTCACAGGGTCCCTCCTTTGGAGCAACTTTGTAGCTCCCAAGGTCAAAAAAAAATCCCATTTCCACGTCACATTCCAGCTTGGGTCAGCAGGATGGTGGATTTTTCACTGGAAACAGCTGTTCCCTCCTGAAATTTGCTGGAAGGACTCGCCCTGTGCAGAAAAAAGCAGAGGAGCACCTGCATTTGTTGTCACTTGAGCTGATGAGAGCTCTCTGGGGTGGCTGATGAGAAGAAACGACGCTGCTGTTTCCTGGTGAGGGGGAAAAAAAGGCATTTTTGGCAGTCCAGATGCAGATAGGAGGAACTCAGTAATAAAAAAACCCCAAACCTAACCAAAAAAAAAAAAAACAACACTGGAGAGCTGGGTTATGACTTCAGCTGGGAAAGGGCCAGAATCCAAATTTGGGTGGGGAGAGCTGCCCCTGTTTTTTAGTCAGAGAAGTTCACAAGCAATTAAACAGCTATTAGTGCTGGTTTGGGTTTTTATTTTTTATTTTTTTCCTTCTGTTTTCCTCCCTCTTCAGCACTGGAGCAAATGACTCTGCCAAGGTGGATTCCCAAATGTGCCCACACGGAGCCGGGCACTGCAGGGCTCAGCAGTCAGAGTGAATTTCAGTTTCCACTCTTCTATTCCGGGCTCTGAGTCACTGGGTGATGGTGGCTGAGGCAGTCTGGAAGCAGAAATTACAGCCTGTGGTGGGGCTGGGCGCTCCTGGATGTCCCTGAGAGGGAGTGACAGCTCCAGGGTCATCTCCAGCAGCAGCAGGACGTGGGGA